GATCTGTGAGCCAGGGCTTGCACAGAGACCGCAGGGAGGTGTGACTGTCAATACGCGATTCTGTTTATGGTGTTCTTGAGGGCTCTTGTTTCTTTTTTCCTTCATTGAGGAATTACTTATCAGCTACTGTTTCATAGTTGATCAGCAATTATTCTTGACACTTTTATCGCGGGAGCTGTCTTTAAGGTGATGAATCTTAGCCGCGGAGTAGTGGGTAGGCGTGTTGCTTTCTAATCCTTAGTGGACTCATCTTTTGTCTTCAGTGACAGTCAACTTGAGAAAGTCCTGCCCACACAGTCGGGCAAGAAGCCTTTTGCACATTGTCAGAAGTGTGCCCGCTCGTAGCCAGCTAATGCATGCGGTGTCCATTGAGGCATCAGCTATTAGATTGTCCGGAAAGTTCTCAGCGTTTTGGGTGTTTCACTTGAAACGATCGTAACTTTTTTAATACTCATCGGATTCGACCGAAATAGGCACCATTCGAATCAGCACACTTTTGCCAATGTGACAGCAGTCGAGAAATCCCATCAAAGTAAAAAACTGGGTGGTCGAAAATTCACGAAATCCACGAAGGCTTTTTTGCCTGGTCCTGATTGATGAAGTATTTTAAAGCAAGGGAGTTCTGAAAATGTAACAAAAGGATAGTCGATTGGCGAAAGGTCTGAGGAATATGACGGTTGAGGTAGAACTTCAACCCCCAATTCGTTCAATTTATGGATAGTTGATTTATTCATTTATTTATCTATTTATTTATTTATCATGCACGCTAAAGGTGTGCTACAATGTCAGCAAGAACCACAGTTACAGGCAAAAACATCCAAGTAGTATATGAAATGAAAAAAAGCAAACAAAAATAAAGCAACGCAACACACGTAAGTAGGAACCATTCCGAAGCCTGGAATCATCTAGAAATCTTGCATGCCTATCAGATTCATCAAGTCCACCTTCTTCAATTTACTTCTAAACGCATAGATGCTAGGCGCCTCCTGCAGGTCCGATGGCAGGGACTGGATCCATCTCGCTCCTCGGGCAAATAGTGAGTTAAAAACCTGTGTTCGGTGCCTTCCGTATAATTTATGACATTGTAAGGACAGCGAAGAGATGCGGCCGCTTGTCGGTCTGAACACCCAGTACTTACTGGGTTTCAATCTTAGCTCACCTTTCAATATCTTGAAACAAAACACAATATCATTGGACACCCTCCTGTACATTAATGATTTGAGATTGAAAAGCTGTAAGCGTTCCCTATAGCTGGGTACGCTAACTGGGTATGACGGGTCAGGGTAACACCTACACATCAAAATTCTGGTAAAAGTTTGCTGGACCTTCTCGATTTTCGCTTGCAGTTTCTTTGTGTGGGGGTTCCATATTTGCGAACCATATTCAAGAATGGGGACAAAATAAGCCTTGTAGAGCTTCAACAGGATTGAAGGATCATTTTGTAGAATATTCCTGAGTATGGCAAAAAGGGTTGTGAATGCTTTCCGAACGATGATGTCAATGTGATGAGAAAACTCTTAACTGGAATTCACTAGGAATCCAAGGTCGCGAACTTCATCAGAAATACTAATTGACAGCCGTGTACGGTACAACTCTGGCTTCTCCCATATGAAGAACAAAGAATTTGAAAAGTTTAGAGGTATCCCCCAAGCAACAGCCCACTCCTAATGTTACATATAGACTGGGTTAGCGCTCGGTGCACGCAGTCATGATTATCTCTGTCATAAACGCCATATATTTTTATATCGTCAGCATTATCTTAATTTCGACCAATGGATGAGTGTCAAGATAACGAGGTAAGTCATAAATGTACGCCAAGAATAACAAAGGTGACAACACACCTCATTGAAAAACTCCACTAGTGCAAGAAAGACTGCGAAAAACAATCACCCACTCTCACGTACATATGCCTATCTTCCAAATAGGAACCTATCCAATCAAGGATGGGGCCATCGATTCCTAACTGCTACAACTTGTGAAGAAGCTTTTTATGATCCACTCTATCAAAGACCTTGGAGAAATAAAATAGATGATGTCAACCCCTTTACCCTCGTTAATGGCAAGAGTCCAATCAAAAATGCAGTCTGCCATGAGAGTACTCGTAGAAGCCCCCCCCCCCAATAAATCCATGCTGTTCTAAGGGAATTAGATTATATTTCGTTAGATGTGATAAAATTCTATCCCGTAATATCTTCTCCAGAGCTTTAGCAGGTGGAGCTGAAATACTTCTTGTGAAACGTGTGGGCGGGCTTTGTCATGCAGAAGAGTCGGACCCTTTCTTTTGATAAGTGTTGGCTGCATCTGACAAAATTTTCGGTACAGTTCGTCGATTTCTTCACAGTAAGGTTCTGCTGTGTGGTTTGGCCTGGTGATAAAAAGTTATCGTGGATCACACCAGCCGATGACCACCAAGCCGTGACCACAATCTTTTTTTCGTAAAGTCGGCTTTGAAAAATACCTCGGTGGTTCTTCGAAATCCAACCACTGTCCGGAACGTCTCCTTTATCACACATGACCCATTTTTCATCCAGGTGACAATTCGGCCCAAAAACAGGTCGTTTCTGCTGCGCAAAAACAATGCTGAAGGAACCTCGAGACGTGCTGATTCCTGCCGATCACTCCAATTGTGGGGCACCCAATTGTCGAGTTTTTTACCTTCCCAATGCTTTTCAGACCATCCACAACAATGGATTTGTCAACGCCTAGCTTTTCTTAATCTCTCCAACTGTTTAGGATGGGTCAGCTTCCACAAACGCCTTCAAATCCTCATCAGATATTGCTTTAGGTCAACCGCTATGAGGTTCATCTTCAAAGCTGAAATCTCCAGAACGAAATTTGTTGAGCCATTGACGCACAGTGCTTTCTCTAGCACTATTGGGCCACCACACCTGGTTAATTTGTTGAGCTGTTTCGATTGCGGATTGCCCCAATTTATAGTCGAAGAAAAAAATCGTCTGAAGTGCTCTTTTCACATGCTTGAAAGGAATCTTGAAAAAAAGGGGTTTATCAAGCAATGGTGAAACGGCAATTATTCCGTCAGATAGCGCAAGAGATTCTCTACAAGATGTGCTACTGAGAAGCAAGGCAGAATGAGTTTTTAATCAGCAGTGAATGTACAAAAAATGGTGCACAAAACGCTGAGAACTTTCCGAACAACCTAATAGTTCACCTAAATGAGAATGCTGCTATGGTCGCGCTCGAGTATATGTTCCAGAACTTCGATAGTAGCACCTGCATGCAATCACGACTCATAGAACACAGGTACTTCGTTCAGGGTGACTGGACACCTACCCAGGGTGACGTTGACTTCCACAGCTAATGCCGCCATTGACGACACAGTTGAAGCATTGTCTTGCTGCCCTACAAACAGCACTGTCTGATTCTAATATAAGGCTGCCTTTTTTAGCCTCTTGACTTGCACCATCCTCCAGATTTTATTCGTGAGGGTATGAATTAGGATGAAAGGTGCTTATCTATTTGTAGGTTCTGGCTGGTTGGCCTGCAAACCTGTCCTGTTTTTTGAAACTCCTAATTAAAAGCCCTACTCAAACACATCACTCGAACTCGGCGACTGGATCTGAACAAAAAGCGGGTCAGGTTTGGGGAAACCTGAGGGATTTAAGCTAGTTAGGAACGACGAAGGAGAAAAAAGGAAATCAACAACAAGGGAAAATCTGCATCTGGGAATGTAAGAGATTGAGCTCCAGCTAGAGCACTTCTTAGCCTTGGTGTCTCGGTAGCAACAACAACGTTAAGTTTCTCAACCAGAAAAGGCAAGGAATACATTTCTTCTTTTTGTCTGCCTCTTCTTCTTGTTCTCAGAAAAACATTTCTTCTTTTTATCTGCCTCTTCTTCTTCGTCTTCCTCTCATTCTTCTTTTCATTCTTCTTCTCCTCCTTTCCTTCGTCCTCTTCCTCCTCAGCGTCTGTCCTAATCTGTTTCGGAGACTGCTTTTTTGATGTAATGACTCCACTCCTTGCGACTGAATGCCTTATCCGGGCGAACACTGGCTGTCTTCAAGTCAGTATGCAGCGTGACAAGCCAGCGCTGCTCTGGACGCCCTTTTGGTCGCGTTTCGCAGTAACTCGAGTTTTACGGACGGTGTCAAGCGTTGCGCGAAGAACATGGCCGCGCACATTGATGGCGCGTTCTTCATATTTTGTCTGCTATACGAGTCACACCGAACCTTTTACATACGGCATCGTTGCGAATAAGGTCCAGTCGCGTGATGCCCGCCGTCAGCGCAACCTTTTCATCTCCATCGCATCGAGGCGAGCTTCAAATTCTCTTGCTTGAACTCTGCACCATACAACGCGACCGGTCGGACGACAATTTCTAGGCCCTCAACTTGAAGCACTCTGTCATCTTCTTGTCGCAAAGGATCCCGGATCTGGATAGTCATTCACCGTGCCGCACTCACTCGCACGCCCACTTCTGAGGTCAGACTGCCGTCGGACGCAACTGCTTACCTGAGATACTTGAATGTTTCTGTACGCTTGAGCACCGTTTCACCGATCTCAATGGAGCTAGGCTCATTTGGGTCGATTGTCGAAGACTCGATCTTCTAAATGTTTAACGTGAGTTTGAAGCGGTCGACCCAAGCCGGCACCTGTTGCTCTAGCATGTTCTTATCTTCGCAAGCATCACATAATCAGCGTGAAACAGCGTCCAAAACGCTTATTTCTGGATATCCCGTGAGGTGGCCTTCATGACAACAATGAAAAGAAGTGGGCGAGCCTTGATGTTCCCCGACAGTGATGAAGAACTCCATTGAAAGTCCCAATGGTGAACGCACGTGACTCCGTGGACACGATTAAAGGATGTGCACCCACTGAATTAGCTTTCGGGCACGTCGCGCTACCTTGAAGCGTACCGTATAGCTCCACGCGGGTACACGATCCAATATCTTCTCCAAGTCTATAAAAGCTACATGCACGGACTTTTGCTCTGAGGAAAGCACTGGCGAATATAGAAAAAAGAGAAAAAAAACAAAGGAGACTCAAAGACTAACGTCATATAGTGGAATGGCAGCTGTGATGCAATCACGTTCCTTCATGACGTTTTCTTGTCTGACAACAGCCAAAACATCATACGGCAACCACGCGAACGACAAAATCCTTTCTCGCGTTTGTCGGGCTGTTTCTGAATTAAACTGTCCACTTCAAAAAGGAGAGAAAGTAAAGGTAGTGAGAGAGCCACGAAAAGGTTTCTCTGAATCAAAAAAGTTAATTTTTTTCGAATGAATGTCCATGAGACTGATGTAAAGTGAAGGTGCACTGTAGCGTACCACCTATGCAGGTCTTGCCGCCGTCTAAACAAAATTCTCACCGTAGCATACTCTGTAATATGCAATAGCCTTTTGCCGCATTTCCAGGTGCGGATTTCGCGCGGTGCGATGAAGAATGTTCCCTTCAACGGCGTACTTCTTATCCATCTTTCCTGTGCAGGTTTCCCAACCGCCAAACTCCTTAAACAGTGTGCTTGAGAAATCCGATACTTCGAATTAAAACAAGACTTACTTGGAAGAACTCCGCCCGGAAATTCTTGAACAAATTAGTTACTTTCTTTTCGATCACTTCATTTGTGTTGTAAAAGGACATATCGTCTTGGTCATGATCTGATATTCGATTTCGCATCTCACTTATGCATGACGAGAAAATTTCGCCTTCTGTTTTGATACCGTAGTTTTCCATGATAGCCTGAAAAGGACATGAGTGAATTTCGTTTACCCTAGATAGTCTGCACTCGGGGGTTGAACACAAGACAGCTTTCACCCTGAAGACACCTCAAGGTGCACGTCGCTGGATGGGAGGGGGGAGGGAAGGGTCGTAACTAGCCTTGAAAACTTTTTTCGAGCTTGATTTCTTTGTGTGTGCACGACACCCTTCCCCCTCAGTCGGCAGCTCCCCAATTCAGCTATTTCTGATGGATGATCACACAGGACGTTGCCCTCACTAGGCGGACATTGCAGGAGGGATGGGACGTGTTACGAGAAATTCCACCCAGCGTCAAGACGAACTCTGGGTACCCAGATATACAACGATGCTAACGACGAACTTCATACTAAAGTCCCTGGATCGTGATCGTTGCGATGTGCGAGCTAAATGGGTGCTCAGTTGCAGTAGCGTGCCACATTCTTCATTCAAAATTACTCGGGGATGAGGCTGGAGGGTAGTGATACCCAAGTGCCCTCTCCAAAGTGCACTGCTGGCTACGAGTCTAACCATAGCCATTCTGTTTGTTTCCTGCTACCAAGTGCTGCAAACCTTGGTATCGACGCAAGTGCTGCAAGATGAGAACAGCGCAGGCGAAGTACGGGACGGCACCGGGCACGCCATCGTTGTGATAGTCACGAGAGAAGTCGTATTTGACTGCAAGGGAGGGGGGGGACTGTAAGCACAGAGCTCTTCCTAAAGTGAGTAGAGCAGCGATACTCACAAGGGAATGGTTTGAAATTCCCACGGAACTTTTAATGGAGACCTAGGTACATCGCTAGAGCCTCGAATGCTGATTACGAATATGCAGATTAAAAGTGCTACGGGGACCTCCCAGACGAGATCTGAGTGGTCAAAGTTTGAGTTCTGGCATCGTAAGCGCTGGTGATCGATGCCTCGGCAGTGCCACCGTGGCTTCGTGGTAATGGTCTCACTTCCAAATCAAACGCATGCGGGTTTGCATACGGTTGGCGCGAAAATTTTTGGTTTGCTCCGTACACAGCTTCAACTATGATTTTCAAAATTCTTCCAAATTTACGGCCCAGCAGGGCAAGTAGATCAAGTACATCAAGTATACGACGTACTCGATCTAGTATGGATTCGGTCATATCTGCCCTCACTGAACATATTACCCATCCGACAATTCAAAGTTTTGCCTCGAGTCGCAATTTGGGCAGACGAGCGTTTTTTCGTCGAAGGATGTGATATTCGTGTTCAGGGGGTCGAAATCTCCCACGAACGAATTTCTCGCTAAAACTTTGGATTGTCGGATGGGTAATATGTTCAGAGAGGGCAGATATGACCACATATATTAGATCGAGTACGTCGTATACTTGATGTACTTGATCTACTTGCCCTGCTGGGCCGTAAATTCGAAAAAATTTCGAAAATTAGAGTTGATGCTGCTACACGAAGCGAAGCAAAAATTTTCGCGCCAACCGGTTGCAAACTGCATACGTTTGACTTGAAAGCGAGACCATTACCATGAGGCCACGGTGGCACTGCCGAAACATTGATCAGCAGCGCTTACGAGCCAGAACTCAAACTTTGACCACCCAGATCTCGTCTGGGAGGTCCACGTAGCACTTTTAATCTGCAAATTTGTAATCAGCACTCGAGGCTCTATCGAATGTACCTAGGTCTCCATTCAAAGTTCCATGGGAAGTTCAAACCATTCCCTTGTCAGATATTTTACAGCTCGAATGATTAACGATTTATTTATTACCAGTCGGATCACCCGGCTGCCGCCGGGTGCTCCTCCTCCAGTTTCACGGCCCGCTTCGCCGGGCCGACCTGGCTTCGCCAGGCACTCTTCCCTTGTGCGGGGTAGGATGCGCTAAATGTGCAAAATGATGATAGCAATTTTTTTCACTGAAATGCAGGAAAATGAGTTGAAAATAGCTCAGCGTCAGTCATTATCTACCAACATCAGGTCCCCCTTGCTTACTACAGACTTTCAACGGTGAGAAGGCTGCACCATATCATCAAGAACCGCAGTTGCGACAACAGAATGGGTAAAGTTGAATTAGTCCAGATGAGCTCTTAACAACCGAAAGAGGCATAACTGCAGAGTAATGGAAGGAGAACTCCACATTGCTTGTACATATAAAAGTTTGTGTCGCACGGACACAGAGAGTCGAATGACCACCGATGGGACGCTCCCACTCCAAGTTGTTGGAATCGCGCCTTATTTTGTTTCAGTTACGACCGCCACCTCCTAACACACACAGCACACATCACATAGAAGGCAGCTTTGCGAAAATTTTTTTGATTGGTGGATTACTCGATTTTCCCGTTTCAGCCGCACTGTATACCCCTCCCCCTCGCTCGTCAACACCATTGTATGCATCTAAAAGCAATCATTGGACACCTTGGTTCTGCTGCCATCGAAGGAAGGGTTCACACGCTGAGCCTCCAATACTCGGCATCAAAGCGGTAAGAAGTGATAAAAACGTGGCGCAGATGGTATCTTACCTGTTTTTACCAATTGATAAGATTACCTGTCACCCGTCATCAATCATCAATGTCCTCATCACCAAATCTCTATGATTTGGTAGCGAGAACCAGCTTGAACAGCCACGACGACTGCAACTTCACTTATCAGATTCTATCAGTAGTTATCGCTTGCAGTCACCCAGATTCATGTCCTCATGTCACCCTCTATATAACGTGCTGAGACGTACGTCTCGCTGATGCTGTGACCTGCGCTGTGAATACAATGACCATCACCATTCTAACGCCCGTTATCGAATCTCGTCAGCGGCTTACAGTACTTGTCACCCACCAATAATGTTCTTGGCCCATACCCTTTACCATATCTTGGAATCAAGAGCTAGCTGATGCTGTCACCCGCGTTGTGAATATGGTGACCGCCGTCTTCTGACGCCTCTTATCGGATCTTATCAATTCATATCACTTCTGTCACCCACCAATAGTGTTCTCGTCACACCTCCTACATTACTCCTTGGAACCAATGTCTCACTGCTACTGAGACCGGCTGAATCTCGTGACAAATAGACAGACGCACCCATACACACATACACGCACGGACATAGCGGATTATATAAAGTAGGGTTCTTCATGTGAAGAATATCTGAAGAGAGACCTCAAGACAGAAGCGTGCTGCAAGCTTAAAAGTGGAGAATGAGCGGTGACAAGCAGTGCGACGGCATTCCTCAACCGCGTCATAAATTAATAAATAGATGAAAGTACAAGTTAAGACCTTTCTGGTCGCAGGGCATCTGCCTGCACGGAGGAGGCCCTACCTAAAAGTTACACCTTCGCAACTGCATGGGAGCGTATGCACAGCGCAATACAAAGGTGATGCCAATCGGCGCCAAATGAACTAGTTCCCGATAACCTCGGCGAAAATATGTACTCGAATTTATACCGAAGTTTCTAGACAAACTGGAAGTGGCACTGCGTTGAAGGGTTGCGTTTTTCGTGTTGTCCGAAAAACGTCACAAGTATTAGGTTGTCCGGAAAGTTCTCAGCGTTTTGTGATACTATTTTTTGTACATTCATGGCTGATTTAAAACTTCATTCTCCCTTGCGTCTCAGTAGAACATCTTAAAGTAAATCTTTTGCGCTATCTTATGGTATAATTGCCGTTTTACCATTGCTCGATTGACCCCCTCTTTTCAAGAGTTTTTCAAGCATGTCAAAAGAGCAACTTCGGACCATATTGTTCTTCAAAACCTTCTCCTTCTTCTTGTTTCTTTCTCGTCGTCCATAGGGGTAATCGATAGTCCTGATTACGATTTTGACACTTATTTCCGACGTCGACGCAATTTTGCGCCAGTATAGCGCCAAATTGCGTCGACGTCGAAAATAAGTCTCCCATAGCGTCTCTCATAAGAGGTTACATGTATTTTTCGCTCCTTTGTTGACGTTACTGGAGCCGCTCAGCGAAAATAAACCCCACTTCTGTGGTCAATGTTCAGGCAACTACAAAGTGCAAAAAACTATTTTGGAAAAGCGGGGCACGCCCTGAACGACCTTCCTCATAAACGCAACTTTGGATGGCCGTGAACAATTAATATTCAAGTGCTGGTACATGCGTTTCCCCTCCTTCCTTTCTTTTTGGTATTTTATTTCCCTTATTGAAGTCCATTTTTAACACAGTGAGCGCCGCGGCATATTGCAGAAACTCCCATTCCCACTTTCTGCACCTCGGGACGCGTGATTTATCTACAATACACAAACGCGTGGAATGGGCGTCTTTGCGCCGTATGCTCTTTGCACGCTCCTGCTGCTTTCGTTTGCACTTTCTCGCGTGAACCTATTCTGTTGAGTAAACTAGGTTCAGGTCACATACTTGATCATATCTAGAGAACCAAGTAAAGGATGTCAATGTTAATTTTTCCGACTTATTTCAGCATAGTGATGAACAGGAATTCGGCGACCTGAACAATTCAGAAAAAGACCACGACGACAATCAGGAAAAACAATAATTTATGAATGGAGTTTATTCACAAAGGAGCACATGGCCATCATTTTCTTGAAGACCGGGTGTTAAGAGTAACTCAGTCCGTGGTGCAACCGCGCCGTTATGAGCAACAAAATAGCCAACTAAGCTCTCAGAGCGGAAGAGGGATTGGTTATAAATTACCATTTGAAGGCAACTGCCGTTGTGTGAGTGATACCCTCTTGGAACAAATGCAGCTCTAATAAACACCCTACTTCAAGCCATGGAGAATTTAGAATAACTAACACATAATGAACATATATTCATCGATTTGGAAACGCATAAATTTCCATGGAGGAATCGACCCACAAAATGTGAATTGCAAGCAATACACAAACGCGCGGAAGTATGGGAGTGAATTGCTGACAATTCACGCGCGTTCAATGTATTAATCGTCTGCAACCTTATTTGTAATGGTCTCGCTTTTTCTGTCGTCACACAGTTTATCCTTGACTACCCTCGTCTCCTTTTTACGTTATTTGTTTTCGCAGACCTTCTATTTTTTCGCTGT